TTTTTTTTTTTTTTTTTTTTCCTTACCTGCATATACATGAACATATGAATTATGAAAGTCAGAATCATGTTATTATGGACGCATCAAAGATCCACAAATGTTTGCATTCCATACACTATGTTTATGTGTATATACTCTAGCATGGGCTGGCGTATTCCTTTTGGCTCCAAGTTAAGTTACCACTTTTGTAACCAGAGACCTTCGATTAAGTTTTCTTGAATTTTCATGTAAAACTTTTCTGTGAGCCTTTCTTTTCTATTTCATTGTACCGCGCAGTAGGGTAGGTGATTTGTACTTGTATCTTTTTGCTTCAGAATTTCAGTTCTATTGTGATAGCCTGATTGTGTCTACTTTCAGTTGGCTTATTATAGCTTTTATCTTATAGAAAAACATCTCCACCTTTATTTCCTTTATTTATTTTTCATCTGTGGTTAATTTGGGCTTACAGTTTACTGCTTCATTGTTGTTTTTTTGCTTTATTTCAGATAAAAGCCTTTCGCCTTTTTCATCAATCTCGACTTGGGTCTCGATGTGCCCTTCGGCTGAGTCTCCTCCCCGTGCAGAACTCTGTTTGTTCTTGACTGATGACCAAATCATTCCATTTCTAAATGAGTATACACCACAATCCCATCTTCCAAATAATGTGCTAGCAGACTGGAGCCCTTATCAATACCCACCCTCTAATTTACCAGGTTATTATTATTTTTTTTTTAATTGATTCTTTTTAAAGTTTTATGAGATTTCACATCCGGGAAAATGAATTCTTATTAAGTACCCCGTTAGTCAGTACTCCATCTTTTGCAATTCTTTTTTGGAATTTCATGAACTTTAGTAAATTCTCGATCCTGAGGTTCAAGACTATAGCTATCATGAATTTTCAGATGGCAATTTAGGATGTAATCATACTGTCTCTTTAGATTTACTCGGCAAATACATATGAATTGGTCGTCACATGTCTGTTTTCTTTAAATACTTCGATTTGTTGAAGTGGATTAATTTGAACTCTAGATGAAAAGAGTTCTCATGAAAGCTCTAAATACTTTAATTTGTTCTGTGTCCCTGTGTACTGATAAGGAAATATGGTTATATGTGCTAAACTCGAGAATTACTTATTCTCTCAGTGTTACAGAACCATCCAAATGGTTTACTCTAAAGTGTCTGATTATGCTTGTTGGGATTGAAGTCTAGCCGATCTTGGACTGTAGTAGTAAAATCGAGTGATTTTAGAGTACTTCATGTTAAAACTTAAAACAATGGAATTCCCTAAGAGTAATGGTTAAACCATAGACTGACGTTTTATTTACATCTTTAGTATTTTACAGTTCTTCACTGAAAGAAAAAATGATTTTGTCTACTTTCAGAAGGAATTTGGTACCTTGTTCCGATAGACGTGAAAAAGGAATATGTTCATGGGTTCTGGAAAGCCAATGGAGAAGACTCTAGGATTTACTCAAACTCCACAATCACTGGTTGGAGGACCACTTTGCAATATTTTGAAGGACAGGCCCCTGACGAGCAAAGAACAGATTGGCGCATGCATAAGTATTGGATAACAAGAAAAGAGCTACATGATAAAGATAAGCCAAAGGTATGAAAGCCGAATCAACTCAGAGAATTCATATAAAACTTTTATTAATGAACCTTCTATTTACACCAAGGCCTGGTCCATATTTACTAGTTCGGTTGGATAATTGTGCAGGAGTCAAGACTGCTATGCAGAGTCTTCTGTAATGACAAGAATGGGAAAAGTGAAAATTGTTCCCAAAATTACGTAACCACCATTGAACCAGAAAAGATTAATTACTTGGCTTTATTTAAATCTAATGCTGTCGTAACCTCAGGCGAAGATTGTGGAAGTGAATCTAAAGTGAGTTGTAGTTATCGAAGCTTGATTACCATGTATATTAAACAGCTCTACATATAAAATTGCACTCAAGTTTGACATTGCCTCGTTTTATTAGTTTCCCTTTTTTCCTCTGAAAAATGAACTTCAACTGGAAAAGTGCATAGGAAATGGTTGAAAACATTCGTTCCACATGTCAGACTCTTTTAAAGATTTTGTATCTGCTTGTCTTTATGTTTCGTAAAAATTTATTTGGCTTTTCCCTTTGGTTAATAGGCAAAGGAGGAGCGTGAAGCGGCAGCTGATAACAATGCAGAGGTGAACCTGAGAGGTGAACCTGATCCTGAAGTGAGTCATCTTGCAATAATTTTTCGTCAATCTCCGAGAGAATTTCCTTTTCACTTTCCGAGTATTATTAGTCTTTCTGTTTATTTAAAAGAAAAATGGGCTTTCAACTAAATTCAATTGGATATTTGTTTAAATGCGGGTCAGGTTCTTCAAGGATTCATGACATTCACCTATTTTTCCGATAAAGTGGGAAAAGAAAGGCACAAATTTTATGGAGTTACATCATGTATGTTTGGGTTTGTGCAGGCGAATAGAGAGTGTGAAGGGGCAGTGGCTCTTCGTGCGGCTGATAGCAAACCAAACTCGTCTGGGCAAGTTTTCTCCCAAGTCGAGTGTTTCGAGAGAGGTGACTTCTTGGAATTAGCTGATCTTGAGGACAATGTCTCGCATTCTTCCAGTTCACGAAACTCGAGCTGTCTCAGCAATTCATCTGATGAAGAGTTTGACGTGTCGGCTTACCTGAGGGACATTGAGGCGGACGAGCTAAATCCTATGCGCGGGGAGCAGTTGAGTTCGAAATACGAGTTTACTTCGGTTAGGCTGGATGATGTGGTTCTGGAGCCCCCGCCTTCAGGTACAACTAAAAAAACGAGTAAATAAATAGAAACAGAAAGAAAAGAAGTGACTGAGAGAGAGAGAGAGAGAGAGAGAGAGAGAGAGAGAGAGAGAGAGAGAGAGATAGAGAGAGAATGGTATTGACTGGTTCCATACAAGCACTCCTTTCTAATTTCTATCTGTATAAAAATATACATCTCAAAATTTTCTCTGTTCAAATTTATGATAGGGACCTTATTGACTGGTTCCATACAAAACAATGTTGCCGAGGGCTCACAAAGAGGCTTAACGGTCCAAAAAATGTCGGCAGATGAAAGAGAAATGGAAAACACTACAGAAGGGCACAATCCAGATAGCCCAATTGAAGGCACCTCAAATAATGGTATTGCCGGTCGGGAGAGAAAGCTCAGTGAGTCAAGCCGAATGAAGAAGCTGAAAATGTGTTTCTGTTTTAAGCCATTCTGAACCGTACAGAGGCGTATCTTTTCAAATGTGTTCCAGTTTTAAGCAAATGTAGCTATTTTGAGTGTGTTAGTCCAAGGAACACAAACATTAAAGAAAGATGGCAACCAGTTATGTACGATGTTATGGAACAATTGCTATTAGTTCTTATTACTTAATCATTAAATTGTTTTTGAGGATATATGTGAACTAGTATTCGACTTGTGCATTTGCACAAAATTAAATATAAATTAAATACTATAATTTATTATTTGTATGCATATAATATTAAAATTATAAGTTAAATAATAGTATTATATTTCAAATATGTAGTATTATAAGTTATATTTATGCATATAATATTAAAATTATAAAGGATAATAATATTATATTTTAAAATTTGATCATTGGTTAAAATAAATAGTACATACGATGGATTGCATACGAATCACTGCATTGATTGCATAAAATGTAAAAAATATATAATTTATATAATATTGAGTGATCATGACCAATTAATTAGTTGAAAAATATTATATTTATTATACAATTGTTTATGTGATTTTAAGAAATTTTACTATGACACAAAAAAAAAAAATATTTGAAAAATAATCTCTAATCATATAAAAAATATAATATTGATTTTAGTGTAAAATATAATTTTATGTAACATTCATATATCATTTTGTGTAAAATATAATTACTAATTTTAATATTAACTATTATATGATTCCATAAAAAATATATTATTAATCAATTAACATAAAATATAATGATTTTTGTCTTAATTAACCCAAAAAAGTGTAATGAAATATTATATTGTTAATGAGATAGGGTGTATTAATGCCACATAAATATAATTTATTAGATTCTATTATTAGGTTTTATTTAATGATTTGCCACATAGGTAAAATTTATCAGGTTTTATTTAGGCAAAATTGCATATAAATACACCACCTTTTACGCTTTTGCAATTTAATCACCATCTTTGTAATTTAGCAATTTAATACACCACTTTGACTATTTTTTGCAATTCGAATCACAGGGCCTAATTTCGAGCTTTTTGTGTTGACATGGCATTTTACGGCTGACGTGGCGTTCCACGTGTCAATGACATGGCTTTTTTGCTGACAGAGTGTCCTGTGTGTTAATTGGAATAAAAAAAAATTATTGGTCAAGAGATTCGAACCTTAGACATTAAGGTTGTATTGTAGCTCTACAACCGCCACACCAATCAAATTTATTTATTGATTCTAATAACCATTTATATATATATCAAATTAAAATTAAATGATAATACAAATTATATTAAATTAAAATAATAAAATATAAATTATAATAAATTTAATTATAAAAAATAAATAAATATAAAACAATAAAAATAAATTAAGATAAAATGTATTGTAGTAAAATGATTAAACTTAATTAAATTAAATTTATATATATTATTTGTTAAATAAAATTAATTATATAAATTTTGAAGTGAAAATTAATAATGTAAACTTAAATTAAAATTAAACTAAACTAAAGTACACCATTAATATAATAAAAATAATATAATATAAGATAATAAAGTATAAAAAAAGGTAAAATAAAATAAAATAAAATAAAATAATAAATATAAGAGCTTATTATGAAACATTAAACTAAAATCAATAAAAATTTAAATGAATATTGTTGTTATGCGATTTGTAACAACGTGTTAGTAAGCTGTTTTTGGTGATGATTATGGGTGATCAGGACGTAAAATATAAAAAAGGTGATCAACGATGGCCCCGGTCCGAGGTGAACCGAGGTGAAGAGCCGTGATAGGCTTTTACGTGTTTCTTGAGAAAATTGGTTCGAGAGTTCGAAGATCCTGTACAAAATACCCTAAGGTCGCTATTTATAGCAACTTTTTGATAAGTACATCGAGATTCGTGCATTGCTTTTCGTGTAAAGCTGCTTTTGGTGGGCGGTTTGGAAGGGTAGGACCCATGTATATGACTATAATTCTCGTGGAGCGTGAGGAGTGCGTAGGCACCTTGTCACCTGCTTTAGGAGGTGACGACCTCGGTTCGAGTT